TTCATCTTGTAGTGGTGCGTCAAATGCAACATAGATTCCCATCCAATTAGATTGAATTTGGTATTGATGACGTGAAAAATAATAACGGTAACTCCATTGAAATGATTCAAAACTAAAGTAACGAGCACATTTTTTAAAATGTAAGGAGTAGAAAGTACAGATATTTGTGTAAAAATGTAAGGAGTAGAAGTAAAAAGTCGCCATTAAAATTAGTAGTAAAGTAAAAATAGAAAAATCCACTTGAGTACAGTAACGAAGTATTTGTACTTTGTTACTTCCCATCTCTGATTTTATGTTATATTGAGGGGGAAAAAAATTATATATATATCTCATGCATGCACAATTTAGTATGTAAAGTCTTCAAATTATATTCTATGTAAGATGTAATTACCATAACAATGTCATAAATACATGCATATTACATGTACATAATCAATTTAGCACGTTGGCTCATCTGTATTATTCTGCTCAATTAGCACATTAATTTTATTGTGATGGATTTGGATAATATGTTATATTATATGATTTAGAGACTTCAATGAATTCATAATGACCATGCAATGCGATGTGCATGTTTTCTTTTATTACTATTAATAACATCAGGTTAGCCTCAGTCAGACTCCCAGAAGCTTTTAACATTTTCTAATCCAGCGCTTCCAGCAGAGCAGCTTTGCTCCAACATCCTCAGTTTGTCTGCTTCTCTAGTGAATCTGACTTCTTTTCTAGATTTCCTTCCCACTAATGCTGCCTCTCTTCCCTAAGGTGAAACAGATCAAATCTGACGTGGGTAAAGCTAACGTCGTGGTTCTTTTCAACCATCTGTGATTAATTACGCCGGCAGCAGCTTCATCTGGGAGTCACTCACCCAAGATTTCCGGGTTGCGGATGACGGAGCCGATCTGCCGCAGGGCCTGCTGGCCCGCCTTCTGCACCTTGACGTGGGAGTCGGTCAGGACCTCCGTCAGCTTGGGCACGATGCTGGGCAGGCAGGAGGACAGCTGTTTGGGCGCGCAGAACGCCATGGCGCCCAGCAGCTCCACCGAGCCTGATGGCAGGAGAGAGGAGAAGGAGAGGGGGACGACAGGAGGTTAAAACAACCTGCTAAGTTTATTTCAAAAAGATTAAAACACTACAATAGAAAGAGGGTTATATTCTGAGTCTCACCTGCTTTGGTCCTCCATGATTCCTCCTCCAGGGCCACCAGGAGAGAAGGAAGCACCAGCTTCACTCCATGGGCGCTCAGGTTCCTCATCACAGCTTTGGCGCAGTCGTCTGCAGCCTGGAAAACAACACAACACATTTAACATCACATCCGTCTATTTGTTTCCTAAATCAGTTTGGTTAGAGGTGGAAAAACATTGGATCTCAGATCTCCTGGAGGCAACTCACCTCCCGGACATACTGGTTTCCATCTCCAAAGCAAAGCAAGAGGTGTGGCAGCACGTGGACCACGTATGGCTCAAACAGCTTCCCCAGCATGTTGCACAGCATCTCGAAGGCGAACAGCGCTCCTGAAACCACATGTTTTTCACTCCCGTCAGTTTCTGCAGGGGACGTCTGCTCAGATCCATGTTCCCGAGTCACTAAAATACCCTGAAAACCTTCTAATGGATCAGACTTTAGAGCAGGGGTAACCAATTAAAAAGGGTCCGAATAAAGAAAATCATCAACCAGTTAAGGTCTGGAAACATTTTTAATTATAATCTGTTACTTTAAGTCGAATTTAACACTGAAATAAAATGCATCCATGTTATACATTGAATTTTTAAATAAAAAATGTTTGTTTTTTTGAGTTTTTATGGCACTAGTGGCTCGGTTGTTTTTTTTTCAACAGTAGGCTGTCAGGAAAGGGGAGATTATAGAGGGGGAGAGACATGCGGGAAAGAACCACAGGCCGGATTCGAACCCGGGTCGGCCGTTAGATTGAATTTTTAAATAAGTATAAATATAAAAAAAGGAAAATCTTTCCATTTTAAAATCTAAAGAATTTTTTTGATTTAGAGAACAACAATTGTTGAGTTTGGTTTATAGATAATTTCCTTATTCCCATATTTTCTCAAACACCTGAACTGATGGTTTG